GATGAAGGTTTGGTTGTTGCCTGTCTGCGGCTGCTCTGAGCGATGCTGCTATGGACACTTCTGGGCGTGTCTCCCATTCACGTGTGCGTGCATGTCTTCAGGGCAGAGCTTCACAAACTTTCACAGGGATCACTTAAGGGTACATTAACTTGCGGATTCTGACTTTCCGGAAGTCTGGCAGGGCCGAGACCGCATTTCTAACGAGCTCCCAGGTAAAGTCATTGCTGCTGGTCCTTGGACCACACTTTAAGGAACATGTGTCTGTGCAGAGTTAGAAAAACACTTCCTGTAGAAGGCCAGATGTAAATACTTCAGATTTTGTCAGTTACATGGCCTCTGTCACAATTACTCAACTCTGCCATTTTAGCACAAGAGCAGCCATTAACAGTATGTAAACAAATTGGCATGGCAGCATTCCAATAAAACTTTATTTACAAAATCAAACAGAGGGCCAGATTCGACCTACAGCACACAGTTTGCCCATTTCTGATCTAGGACGTGTCCTAGCAGTGGCAATGCCAGGTCAAAGGGCTGGCCCACTTTCGATCCTGATCGTGCGCAAGTGCTTCGCACAGTGGGTGTCATTTTGCACGCCGGCCAGCAACGTACAATAGCTCCTGCCGCCGTCATTCTCAACAGCAAGGCGTGTCGTCGATGTTTTTGGTGGGTATGCAATGCCATGATCTCCTTCTTTACCGTTTTGGGTCAAAGTTATGGCCATAACAAAGGTGTCCCAGTCTCCTGACTTCCGATGTGCTGTCTCAACCTGCTGTCAACGCAGAGTCACAGCTGACATGCCTGCGACTTGCACAAAAACCAAAGCCAACCTCACCTGCGGCCCAGTGGGGTACGTGACACGTCAGTGCCTTCAGAGTCAGCAGAGAAATCCCCATGCCCCGCCCCCCAGGGTTACCTCGACAAGCCACGTGGGGCCGTGGTCAGTACACACATGAGGGGAGCCTGCCGCACGGCCAGGTCCAGGACCCCAGGCCCAGACTGTGTCCCGGCAGGGGAAACAGAGATGCTCTGCATTCGGGGACTGTGGCCAGGAAGTCTGAGCACCCCTCACCCCACCAGCAGATCTGCGTTTTCGCAAGGGAGAGATCACTGCTCTGCACCCAGAGGATCCGGCCGTGAGCTGACGCTCTCCACCACGTAACTGCTTCATCTTTAACCCATTGCCTAAACACGATTTCAATTCTACTAAGTTGACATGGAACATAGGACGCGACAGCTTCAACTGAAGCACATGTCAGGACTGGACGCTACGAACTGTTTTCCCCTCTGTGAAATTATATTAAGGGCAACCAGAGAATTCCCCAGAGTAACAACAAAAACTCACCTTTTTCAGATCCCATAAACAGATTCTGTAGGGACAAAAAAAAAAATTGTTAGTTTTTAAAAACTTATTGGATTCTATGATAAAAAAAAACTTGTAAGTTAAATTAGCATTCACATAGCACTGAGACAATATGACCCATTTTCCAACAAAGCCAAATGAAAAGTAGAACTATTTATTCAAACAATACCGCTCACTAGAAACTACTGGAGATTCAAATTTCTACTCAATTCAGGACTCTCAAAGTGAGCCAACAAAGAGCAAAATTCTGAGGACGGCGCAGTCACGTGACAGCACGTAGCTTACTCTGAAGCAGGATGTCACAGTCTCAGTACCATTTACATTACAGGCTGGAAAATTCTGTCGTGGGGCCGTCCCGTACACTGTGGGAAGTTTATCAGCATCGCCAGCCTCCACCCGCCCCAAGTGCCAGCACCGTCCCCACAGCTGTGACAACCAAAGATGTCTCCGGACACTGCAGCACGTCCCTTGGGAGGGTAAAGTGACCTCCAGTTGAGACTTGCCGCTCTAAATTAACTCGAGGCGTTCAGAAAATAAGGGAAAAATGTCACAATCTGGTCACCTCGCCCATCGTCCTGCTCGAGCAGCAGGCTCGCCGGGCGGGCAGGATGAGGCGGGCGGCAGGGCCTCCGTGTGCCCGCTGAGTCCGCCCTCTCTGCCCTCCTCGCGCCCCGCCCCCTGGAGGCACACTGTCACATCTGCCCGCTTCCCCTGCACTGCGTATAACCCACGCCACCTTTCAGAAAAACGTAACTGGGCGTGGAGAGGGGGACTCGGGGACGTGAGGTGACTGACACCGGCCGTGGCAGAGCAGCCGCAGACAGGAAGAGCAGGGTCCCTGATGACTTCGGAGCTGCCACGCTGGGCCTGAACGAACCACTTCTAGGCTTCTTTTCAGTGCCAAGAGAAACGTCGCTCCTGTTTGTCATCGGGGGCTCTGGGGACGAACCACTGTGCCCTGCCTGGTCCTCCTTAACATAGGCGTGAACCTGCTTTCCCAGGCGGGTCTCGGCTCTGCCGGCCTTTCCTGTGGGGACTGGCCGCGGCGACCTTACAGTCCCTACTGTCCCCAGGCACGAGCCAACGTCTCCCCCCCAGCAGCCACACAAAGTGACCTGGAAGAGCCCGGCTGCGGGGGCCTCACGAGGCACAGCGGGGACAGTGTGGCACACTCCTCACACCATGACCGTCCTCCAGGGACGCTTAGGGACGTCACCGCAGCTCCAGTCTCCTCTCTGACTTGGGCCAGATCCCTCATTCTCCAGTTTTTGAGAAACCAATCACCACGTTTTTTTCCCCAAGTGACACTGACATCATAAAACTCACGGAGCCACGAGCTGGGGCAACCCTACCGTGACGCTGTGATTTATAAGACACACTGGGTCTCAGGCACAGAGCTCCTAAAAGCCTGGGATTTCCTAAGTAGTGACAGAGTTGGTCATCAATGAGGTGACTTGTGGAACAATCCGGAGGATGGGGCTGACTCCCAGCCCCGCCCCAGCCCCGAGGGAGGCCAGCTGGGGATAGTCTCGGGGCCAAGGAGCTAATTGACCCCACCGAGGTAATGACGCCGCCATGAAACCCAAAGGGACAGGATTCAGAGAGCTTCTGACCCATGAACCAGACCACTTCCCGCCACTGTGCCGCACCCCAAAGTCCCCCGGGCTTCCCCCCACGCATCTCCTCGTCTGGCTGTGATAAACCGGAGGCCTGGTGCGGGAACGGGCTTCCTGAGTCCTGTGGGCGGCCCCGGCAGACTGACCGACCACGAGGAGAGTCATGGGGACCACTGATTTACAGCCAGGCGGTCAGAGGCGCCGGTGACAACCTGCTTGGACTTAGGACCAGCGTCCGACATGGGGGGCAGTCTTGTAGGACGGAACCCTTAACCGTGGGGTGTGACGCCACCTCCCGGTCGACAGTGTCAGAAATGAGCTGAGCCGGACACCCTGCTGGTGCCAGCGTGGCTTGGTGGGGGCCGGAAACCCCCGCACTAGACTGTCACAGGAGATTCCCCCTAGACCGGAGCAGCCCGGAGCCGCCCGCCCGACTCACGATGGAGAGCTTCTCCGTGGTCGTGTACCGCACCAGGATCTCGCCCCGCTTGCTGGCCCACGGCTCGAAATCTGGCCCGACCACCGAGGTATCGTCCCTGTCACGCTTCTTCCTGGGACCGTCCTGCGGAAAAGCGAGACAATCTCAGCAGCGGGGAAAAGGACACGGCGGCTGCAGTCGGCAGCACGGTATATTCCATGAACCGGAACTTGCCAGAAGAGTGGAACTTAGCAAAAAGTTTAAGCAGAAGGCAGATGATCCTCAATGTAGAATAAAATAAACCTACCTAAAGGTTTGCTATGATAAATTTCTCAGGCCAATTCAGCACAAATGGCCAACATGCCGAAAGATACTCACACTCATTAAGAATCAAGGAAAAGCAAACTGAACAAGATCGTTTTTTGGTCATTAGCAGGGCACAGTTCGCAGGACGGACGACGTCCATGCTGGCAGGGGCCAGAGAGACAGGCCCCTCAGTTCTGCTGGCGAGGACTTGGAGAACCTGGCAGGAGCCCCGTCCTGCAGAACCCCCGCACGTACGCCCCACGGCGCTGTGCGTCCCAAGGACCAGGAACGGCCGTCTACACCAGCCAACGCCAGAAAGCAGTCTACGCCCCCATCTTTTTTTTAGTCGGAGCACGTGGGGCCCACTCCTTAGAGCGTGACAGGGCCACCGACACTCAGGCTGTCCTGTACGGACTAACACGGAGCTACGGCACGTCAAGGTAAAAAGAAGTATATACTTCCAATTATGTTAAAATAAAAAAAACGAGCTCTCACTGTATGCGACGCCAGCACGGAACACTGGCTCCGAGTGCGAGTTCCGGAGCCAGCCTGGCCGGTGGGAAGTCCAGCTTCCACATGACTCGGCACCCCTATTCCTCCGTGGGCCTCCTTAACGGGGAACATAACGCCTCTTGGGAGGGCGTCTGAGAACCAGGAGCGAGTGCACTTGGAAGGGTCTGTCACAATCAGGTGACACTGTTGTTACTGTTATCTATAAATGAGTGAGCATGTAAACGCTCGGAAATTGCTGTCGTAACATCTACGAAAACAGAAAAAGTTATACAAAACTGCACAGCACAGCGATGTCACCAGTGACCTGCAGGCAGTGGGCAGAATGGGCGGAAATGGCCGACGGGGCTTCGTCTGTGCTATGCAGCTAATTTTATGTGAAAAATGAGTGAACTGCTTATGTAACTATGTGAAAATAAACCCAAAAGAATTATAAAAGGGAAATTAAACTTTTAAACACTTTTAAAAAAAGAAAAAAAGCAGCTCCCGGGACCTACGCCAGCCTCTCCCGTGTCACCCGTGGGCTGCACCCTGTGGCATCTGCATCACCTGAACCGCGACAACCAGGACACGCCCCGGATGCAATTTAAACCAAAAAGAGGAACTCCCGAGCCCCGACCCCGCAGGACTGACCCCCTGGACGGCGCCCTGAGGGCGTGTTACCGTGGCAGCCGCCGTGGCCGCGGGGTCAGCAGTGGCCGCGAACATGGAGAGGGGGTCGGTCCCGTCCAGGACGCTGCTCAGAGGGTCCACCACGGAGCTGGAGGACGAGGAGGACGTCGACGACGTGCTGCCTTTCCGGTTCCCCTTCTTCGTCTTTGACTCCGTGACCTGGGGGGGAGGACACCGCAAGGGTCAAGGTCAAGGGGCATCTCTGCCGACTTTTGCCGGTGAACACGCTCGAATGGGTTTTCCTAGTTCCATGACAGGGATACATTTTTGTGACAAATTGGCAAGACTCAGAATCCCAGCGGCTGGGGAGGGAGGGTGGGAAGTCAGGGTCAGGAAGGAAGAGACGGGGCCATGACGGTTAGAAGGTGGTGGCAGGTCCCTGGACAGGCGGCAGCCACATCAGGCAGGAGCTCGCAGAACAGGCAGATGTCACGCCCCACCCCGGACCTACCGCATCCGGACGGGCGCCATGCGGCAATGCCCTAGGCAGGGAGTGACAAGGACGCGTGAGCCCCCAGCGCAACCACGCTGCAGTCTCAGTGGCTCTGTAAAGTGTCCGGACTGCAGAGCAGTGGGTGCCAGCTCCGCCCTCTCGGGAGAATTCGCCCAGTGCCACGTCCCGGGGTGTGAGCTGACAGCGGGCACTGGGGTGTGAAGCCACGCTTTCGTCCCACTGGCCGCCACCCCGCCCTCCCCAGCCTCAGATGACAGGGCCAGGGGTGAAGCCCTGAGCCACCAGTCTGTGCTGAGAACCGGAGCAACGGCCAGTGGGCGAGTGAGGCTCAAGGGTGAAGCCATGAGGACCAGGGGCTGAGGCCAGTGACGGGCATGCTGGACACGCAGAGGAGACCGACAGGGGCGCAGAGGAGACCGACCTTCAGAGAGGGACGGATGGAAGGAAGTGGGCAGAGCGCTGGATGCAAGAAAATCCGAAGTGTGGGTTCCCGGGGGCCCCGGTTTGCAGCTGGTGTCGGAAGCGAGAGCAGCCTCACTGAAGACGCCCCCCAGACCTGGGGCCTGACACCGCGCCGGGGTGACTAGACTGAGTGCCTGTCACTGGTGCCCGTGTCGTCTGTGTGCCTGGCACCCAGCCCTGCACCTCCCAGGCCCGACAGCCCAGATCCCGGCTGGGACACAGGCCTCCCGCTTCTCGGCTCCTCCTGACTCTGCTCCCAGGGTGGGCCTTGGCCCCAACACCCCCTGCCGCTGGATGGGAGGCTGGGGCGGCCGCAGCCCATCTGTCACCACGTGGGTGAGGGCCTGAGAGCAGGACCAACCCAGCGGTGGGCCGGCCGCGGGAGCCCACGGGAGTTCAAGGGCCAGTCTCGTGACCTCCTGCTTTATGTCATCGTGTCTGCGGGTCCTCAGCTCCCCATCGTAAGAACTTTACGTCCTCAGTACCCGCGGGCATCTGTCTGTCAACCTCTCTCCACCCGCGGTGACGACCCCACGGCTTCTATTACTTGCTGACGATCAAGAGAGTGCGACCCAGAAGACAGTGACCAGCTAAACGCCTTTCCTGCTTTCCGTTTAGTTTTTTAAATAAAGTCGCAGACGACAGTGCTGCTGAGGACAGCGCCCCCCACGGGTAATGACATACTCTGCTCACACCTCCCCCGGGAACGAGGCATCCCGCACTCATGATGGGGGGAGGAGGGGGGGACGAAACGAGGGCGGGGGACCCACGTGATCTACACGTGCAAAGGAGGCTCCCGCTGGCCGACGAGAGGCCCGGGAAGCTGATGTGCTGTCGTGGGTCCTCGCCCGGGGGGCCTGGACCACACTTACCGTGATGGGCTTCAGGGGGTGATAGTCCCCGAACTCCAAGGGCACCGCCTCCAGCCGGCATGATGCGAATTCAGCCTTGTAGTTCCTGTTCCGGGGGTGCCTGGGGACAGCAAAGCCAGACGCCCGTTAGCGGATAGTGATGCTGAACACGCCAAGACGTTGGCTGGGACTTCACGAGATGGCAGTTTACAGAGGAACAGTGTTCCTGCCAACACTGACGAGAAGTGCTAAATTAAAAAAAATCGTTTTGGGATCAGTTTGAAGGTACAAGGAGCTGCCAGGGCATACGAGACCAGCGAGGCCAGACCCCAGAGCCCAGGGAAGCCAGTGAGGGGGAGCCAGCCCCACCGGCCCACAGGGCAGCTGCGGACTGACGCTGGACGAGAGACTGGAGCCGGCCGAGGGCAGCAGATCAGCCCCAAGGGCTTCGAGGAAACCTCACAGGGCTGGATGGATGAATCGGGGTTCGGGCCATCGAGGTAGCCAGGGCCCAAAGGAGGAGCTTCAGAAGACAAGGGGGTGCAGAGACGGGAGGCCTCCGGCCCTGGCCCCCACCCCCCACCCCAGGTGCTCGGCAGGTCGGCGGCACCTGCACATGGAGAGATGACAGGTGAAAACTTCCCTGGACGAAAGGCAGGCATCGAGCCACAGAGTCGAGAAACTCCTGTGCCCCAAGCGAGCCTCAGACACAAAACCAAACCACCGACTTCAGGGCTTCATAGTAAAACGGCTAAAAATGAGAGCGCACGGATTTCTTAAAAGGGAAAAAGGCACGTGATTTTCAGAGAACGAGATTTCGATCTCGGCACAGAGCTGGGAGTCAGGAGACAAACGAGCTCGTGCCTTTCAAGGACGGAAAGAGAGAAACTGCAGCAAGAATGCGGCACCTCGTCGAGCTGCCTCTCAGACACGGCAGAAGGAAGAAGCCTGCAGCCCGAGAACCAGGACCCCGGTCGCCAGCACGCGCGCACACGCACACGCACACACGCAGACATGCTCACACGCGCGCACACGCGCACACACAGCGCTCACACACGCGCTCACACGTACACACGCTCACACGCGCGCGCACGAAAACTGACTGCAAAAAATAACTTACAGTGTTAAACTATTCGTAGAATTAAAATGCAGCAGGACAACACATAACAGGCAGGATGAGGCTATGGTCTGAACCGGGGGGGCCCCCAGGCCACCTGCGCTCCAACACTGTTCGTGTTCACCCCCCAAATTCGCAGGTTGGAATCCCAGCCCCCTGGGTGATGGTTTAGGAGGCCAGGCCTTTTGGGGTGCTGAGGGCACGAGGGTGGGGCCCTCACCGATGGGATCAGGGCCCTGATAAAAGGTGACAAAAGGGACCTCCCCCCACAGGGACACAGTGGGAGGTCGCCGGCTAGGAACCCAGAGGTGGCCCTCAGCAGACCGCACTGGGGCCATGATCCGGGCTTCGGCCTCCGGGACGGTCACGAATCAATTTCTGTTGTTCTAAGCTGCCCAGTCGGTGGGATTTCATTACAGCAGCCGAAACAACGGAGGCAAAAAAAAAGAATGGTGCCAGGAGCAGGTGCTGCCACGAGAAAACGCGGCCGCGGCTTTGGGGCTGGGCGCAGGCAGAGGCCGGAGTGGCCTGTCCAGGGCGAATCCCCTGAGGGCTCAGCGGGGGGGACGCGGTGTCGTGGACAGGACACTAGCAGACGCGTGCAGGTGAAGGCCCCAAGGGGACGAGGGCCGTGAAGCCATCCTTGCTATAAAGTGGCAAGGGCTGAGCTGTGCCCGTGTCCTCTGCCGTGAAGGGAGACCTCGTGAGCCACGAAACGGGTACCTGCCGAGGGAGTCCCCAGCAAAGCGCTGAGGGGTGCTCGCAGGTAACACGAGGAGAGAGACGTGCCTCACAAACGGGCGGCCATCGAAAGGGCAACAGACGTAAACCCTGGGGAACTCTCCGCCTGTCCACGGGGAGAGAAACGAGAGCACGTGCTGTTGGGGTGGCCGTCTCACCCCACCGCTGCCCACTGCCGCCTCCCACGGGGCTTGGGGGGCACCCTGGGTCTCACAAGCGGTGCCTTTCAACAAAAGACACAGGCGCTTCTCAGGTGAAAACCATCGCATGCCAGACAAACAGCTTTTCTGGGCACAGGGGACAATTCGTGCCACCACCTTTAGGGAAAGGAGAAACTCAAAGAGCACTGGCCCCGGCCACGTGGTTCTCAGGCCCCTGAGTCCCCCGACCTGCAATTTCACTCGGCCTTCCTCAGCGTCCCCCACGAGCCAGAAAGCCTGGGCTCCCACACGATTTCATCTCCGCCTTTCCTAAGTAAATCTGCTCTGAGCGCAGAAGGGGCTGGTTAACAATGTGGACCACCGGCCTCTTCTTTAAGGGAAAACCCCAAAATGTTGCCCTCTGAGTCCCATTTTTTAAAAACACACACTGTCTTCATCTTCAAACAACATCGCAGCTGCAGTCATCTGTGAAACACCCTTCCAGACTCCCCCGAACGTGCTTTCGGCCAACCCGACTTCAAAACGAGCAAAACCCGAAGAATAAACAAGCTGGAGTAACAGCCATCGACACCACAGCGACGTCTTAGAAGCTACATCGTGCTTCTCTTAGACGGCTCTGAATATGAAAAGGCTGATTTAGCAGGACGAGGAGAAATGGCATCTGACCCGCAACTGAGGTCAGATGTTTTCATCCATGGGACCCGACCCGTCGCTGGACAGCTGGGAATGCGCCGCACACTAGCGCGGTGACGTCCGGTCCATCACGCGCTCGCCCGGGTGCTCCGCCTCCCGCTCCTCACTGACTCAGCCCCAGGAGGCGGGTGCCGTGATGCCGTCCACTGTCAGACAGAGAAGCTGAGGCTGTCTGTGTTGGTAGCTCGTTGGGTGACAGCAGCGAGTGACAGAGGCAGACGTGACTCTGGGATCCGGGGACTTACAGTGGTGGGTCAGACCCGCGGTTTAACAAAATCCCCAGGTGACTCACGCATGTTCAGGGCTGACAGCGACCTATTTTTAAGCTATTTACACCTGAGAATACGGATGCGTAGAAATTCCACTGCCACTTACCAAACTAATCACATGCTGTTTTTTGTTGGCTATTTGCATTCTCCGGTGATTTTTTAAGAAGTCACAATGACCATCTGGCCAGTTTGTTCTCACACAATCACAGTACACACACACCCCCGGACCCCACCAAAAAAATCTAAAAATGATGTAGAATTTCTGGTTCTAAAGGGAGGCATTTTTAAGTGTGCCACTGCCATGGGAGGAAACAGGAAATGCGGTGCATGGAGGACTGGACACCTCGCAGGCCGGGCCGGGCCACGATGGGTCAGAGACAACAAAGTGTGTGCGAGAGGCATTCTGGAGGGCCTTGGGGCGCAACAACCCAGAAACCTCAGCCCAGGACTGGAGGCCCGGCTGATGGCAATGAGTAAGGTCCCGCAAAGCTCAGCGCCCCACGACTCAGTAAACCGCTTCATCCTTCTGCCTCCAGCCCCTCGCCCGGAAAACAGCATCGTCACGAGGGTCAGGCGAGAGGCTGCACGCTAAGCACGCAGCACAGCGCCTGGCGCCAAATAAAGGCTCAACATGTGTCCACTACAAAGGCAGAAACACACTTCTCTGTGCGGGTCTGTTTCCCCGTGCGCTCCACAGACGTTACCCAGCATCTGTTATCGGCCGAGCTCCACGCCAGGCACTGGGGATCCGGTGATGGTGACAACTCAGTCCCTTTCACTTAAGGAGCAACAAGTCAGGTAGGGAAACTGAATGGTGCCCATGGGCTACCGCACAGAGAAATGCCAAGGGCACAGGCACGTTAACACCTCCGAGACCCCAGATGCAGAAAGCCTTAGGGGCCCTGTTTGTAATTTAAGTGGGAAACGCTGAAGATCAAAGGGTACCAGGAGGCAGAGAGAAAACCGCATCTTCCTGAATGTTCTGATTACAAAATCCCGGGGAACTGAAGCCAGGTGTTTCTCGTGTTTGTGGTGTTTAAGCCTTAATGACTCCCTAAAAGCCGCTGGGCGTGGAAGGGGCCCAATGGTACCTTAGGAAGGAAGCCGCTTGGAGAGCCAGCCAGGTGGAGGGGACACAGGGGAGGCCGCCGGGAAGGAAGCCGACCCCTCGCTGCGCCTCACGGGCGTTGTGTGTTCTTTACGAACGGAAGGCAAAACCCGCCACCAGCACATTCCGATGAGGACGCTTCACTGCGTGGCCCGGAATCCAGGCCGCAGGGCCGCGGCTGCGCGCGCCCGGCCCTGCCTCGCCCCGCGCTCTGGCGCCGGACGCCTTTCGCTGCCCGCTCCCTCGTTCGCTGTCGCTCGCTCCCTCGTTCGCTGTCCCCGCGGCTCGCCGTTCGGAGAGACAGGTCGGCAGCTTCCCCCGTCTCCGGGACGGAGGGCAGAGTCCGTCTC